GCAACGTGAAGCAAAAAGAAAAGAGAGTGAAGAGGAAGGAAAGAAGAAAAGAGATAGACGGACAGAGAGAAAGAGAGGGATGGAATTAAAAAGAGAGATAGAAGAGCGGACCAGAAGAGGAAAAGAAAAAGAAAGATAGATAGAGAGAGAAAGAGAGAGATAGAAACCGGACGGACAGAGACCAGCGAACGCGAGTCTTGCACACAGGCAAAAAACAAAAGTGCATCTCTCGGCAAGATGGCCGTCGGTTCTCAACGACTCTCAAGGTTACTTGGAGAGCAGCATAGGGGAGAGAACGGAGCGGCACTGCGTTGCGTATGAACTGGCGTATGTGTGCCAGCTAGCAGCCTTTAAACTTTCATGTAGGCCCCGTTATTTATTTTGATAAATCTTCGCGCCACGCTCGCGTTCGTCTGTGACGAGTTGCGCGCACGAGCGCGAGCGAAAACGTGGACGCGTGTGCGAACTCTCGAATGCATTCGGCCAATTTCGGAGACGTTTCGTGGAAGATGTTCCTGTCCGAAGAAGATGAAGAAGATGAAGAAGATGAAGAAGATGAAGAGACGAATTTGCTTCAGGGCATCGTTATACATACACATACATGTATTTATATACACGTATTTACCATTGCTCGTCGATGGGATCGATGACATCGATTGGACAAAAGTAAATATGTAATATATACATTTATATATAAGTAGGTATATATAATATTTAAGATTGTTTATTCTAAAAATAATCAAATAAACAATTATAACAAATCATCATAAATATGTTGTGAGAGATCTGTTTGCCATTTTGGAACCTTACCAAGGTCTCTAAAAATTAGAAATCTTTCTCTTTTTTTAAAAGTTAGTTCGCGGCACGTGCGAACAAAGCATATCCGCTCACAGTTTACAAATGTCTTGTTAAAATCTCGTTATATAAATAGTATATATGCTTTTGATGCACCACTCTTTGTAAATGTCAAGCATTTATGGCTCAAAGAGAAAGAGAGAAAGAGAGAGATAATTGGAAGGTGTAAATCTCCTTATCTAAATGAAATCCTCCAAACAATATTCTTTCTTTCTTTCTTTTCATTTTATTTTTTTTATTTTCTTTCTTTCCTTCTCACTCTTTCTCTCGGTTTACTTAGAATCTCGTTTCGATAAAATATAATGCTTCTCGAATGTCGGAAAGAGAGTTTTAAACCTGGTATACCTCTCTTCCTTCTTCTTCTAATTCCAACTTCTTCTATCTCATGCATATGCATAGGCCTTTTTAAAAGACAAACACGTACCTACACAAACGCACACGTATATACACATATAAAAGATTTTCGCGAATAGCTAGAATATGCCGTTCGAGTTTGATTTTTCTTCGTTTGCGTTGTGGGTTCGCAACATACGTATACGTTTAAGTTGTATCTATCTTTTGGCCTTATGTTACCCCTATTCTCGTCTACGTTCTAACCAAGGTTATCTCCACCTCCTCCTCCCTCTCCTTCCACCTTCACCTTCTTCTTCTCTTCTTCTTCGTCTTCTTCTTCTTCTCCGCCTCATCCTTCGGCTTCCCATGCAGAAAAGTACAGTCCACTGAGAAATAACGCAGGAATGTGCAAGAACGAAATGCGTGCGCGTTCGTGAACGCCTTCTCTTCGTATCCCTCGATAATATTTTTGTTTTTCTTATTTTTTCTTGTTTTATACTTTTTTAACCAACTTCTTTCCTCTTCTGTGTAATTTTATTACGTTACGTCTATCGTAAGAGGATGAATCGTTGCTGTTAAATATGAATCTGCTATAGAACTGTTTACTGCTCATCGTTGATTATGCTATTCATACCTA